CATTTTTAATGTACAAATTAAGTGTAAATTCCCAGTTTCCTTTCTGTGGCTAATCCTCCGGATTTATTTGAGTAGATGTAAGGTTAGAGCACATTTATTTTCATGTTTGGAATTTCTAAATTAGTATAAACCAGCACTTCAAAGTAATTCAGCTCCTATAAAACCCAATCCCACGGAGATGCCACAGTATATTTGGACAGTAAGTAGATGCTTTGTCATATTCCCACGTGTATATGAGGTTTTTTTCTTTGGGAACATTTTCTGACCAGTTTCAAACCACACTTCCATGCCCAGGCATACATATATACTGAGACTGTTTATACAGTCTACCCAAGGAGTTCGTTTTATTTAACAACCCGTTATAGTAAAGCTCGCTGGTGGGTATCTCATCATTACACCACAAAACACTGTGCTCAATGAGCATGCAGGATCTGACACAAAGCCACAAGAGCCAGAAACTTGAGAATTAATGCTGAAATGCATCATTATCCCATGCCGCTGTGCCTATGTTTTTCAGCATAGGAAGCAAACTGGATTTTCAGCCTTTTTTGAGCTGCAGACCCCAAAACATTTCCCAGGAGAGATGCGGATCCCTGGCTAGCAAATCTAAGTCTAATGAACACAAGTCTGCTTTCCCTAGTTACCTCTCGGGGAGTTTTTAGAAGGAGAGCGTGGGGCTTGGCGCGGAAGCCACAGAAGACAAGGAGTCCGGCGCAGCTGGGAGTGTGGGATGGGGTTACCAGCTCAGCTTTTCCTCAAGTGTGCTTGTTCGTCACGTGGCGCATTTTATTTTGTGTTAAACTCAGACCCCCAGGTCAGCCACTGCTTGGACACCCAGAGTGGGAAGGTTTGTAGAGATGCCTGGAAATACACATTTGTTTGCCCTTCTGCTGTGGCCATGGCCGGGCTGGGACTGCCCGGTAGCCGTCCTCATTTCCCTGGCCAAAAAGGCAGCTGCCAGCTGGAGCAGCACAAAGGTGCCCGGTCGTGTCCCCCTGCCCCAAACACCAGATCGAGAGACGGGGCAGTGGCCAAAGGATATCGTGGGGACCCACTCCACTGGGATGTGGCGGTGATGCAGCACGGCTGCCCACACCACAGGAGCAGCCATATCTTTATTTTCAGTGGCACTGAGGAGGAAGGTGCTGGGACGCCCCACACGGCCGCTCCTTGTGGGCCAGCGGGAAGCCAGGGACAGGTCTTGCCTGCTCTGCTTTCGCAAGGGCTCTGGCGTACCGCAGCTGCGCCATGCTCCAGCCACGCAGCCGGCGTGACCTTCAAACCTACTGGGCCACAGTCCTGCTGGGGCAGAATAGTTCAAATATGAAGTAAACCCACTCAGTGTCCTCAGGATTTGATAAGCGTTAAAGACAGAGTGCTACAGAGAGCTCATACTCCTCTCCTGGGAGGTCGGGTCCAAATTCCACCCGGGCTTCGAGTGGGCAAAATGCAGCAGTGACTCTGTGCGAGTACTTCATTTTAACTGCATGCCTTACAAAGACGCCCAGTATTTGACACAAAATTCATTATAAAAAGCTATTTCTGTTGAGGGAAAGCTCACCCACTCACTCTCAGTACAAGAACCCAATCAAACTAAATCCTTCCCCTAAGCTGCCACTGCGAATTCACCTCCTCAGTAAATGACTTTTCAGTGGCACTCATTGAGAACAACCAACCAGCCTCCACTCCTGACCCAGACCATCCTCCTCTGCACATTTTCTCTGTGTCTCACAAAGCCGTTAAGCATGTGCTTAATTGCAAGTTAGCACCTCCATCAAAGCAACGCGCCCGTTCCCAGGCTGAGCCGGCAACTTCCCTTGCCCAGCGGTGGGGATGCAGGCTAACCGGCCACCCGGGTTCCCCTGCCAGCCAGCAGCGATGTGCTGTCCCCAGGTCCACCTGCCCTATCCGCCCTCCGCAGCCCCGTGCGTGGCCAGTCCCAGCAGGAGCCAAACAAGCGGCTGCCATCACACCAACCACAACTGCTCGAGAGTGCTCCCCTGCACAGGGACGAAGCCCCTCTTTTCAGTGCCGGCCTCCTGTCAGACCTCTCGTCACAATGCTGAGGGGTAACAAGCCTGGTCCCTCACCAGTGAGGTGCCGTGGGGACAACCAGGGACGGCCAGCGTGCCAAGGGCCCGTTCCTGAAACCCATCACTGGCGGCTGACTGCTGCAGCTCCCTGGCTGAGTCACAGCCGAGTGCTGCAGGAGAGGAGCATTCAATTAGACAGAAGAGCACACAAGGGGGCAATGATTTTCCTTTCACACCGCATTACGCCTAACAGCCCATGCTCCGTATTTGTAACAACCGACTACTTCAGCCGAACGCACGCTCGGAATGAATCAGGCCATCATTAGGTTTTTATTTTTTCTTCCACAAGGAGCTTAAAACCCAACCACCTAGTCCACAGGAAGAACTAATGAACCACAATTTTGATAATACCGGAGCACCTATCGATGCATAGGCAAAAGAAAACCTGAAAACCCACTAACGGGTGGAGAAGTGGAGCTCACAATGGGAAGGCAGCTAGATGCTGATCTGCTCCGCCAAACCAGCTGCTGCTTTAATACATTTTCCTGCTGCGTTCCCAGGGCTGGGACACAAAATGTATTAGAGTATTTCATTGTCTTGAAGGTGGAAATTGATGTTAGGTTTTCGCAGCACAAAGAAACACAGTATTACAACTCTTCTCTTGACACTGCCACTCTGGGACTTGAAAACGAAAACAGCTTGTTAACTTGTTGGCAATTCTAATGATTAAGTAGAAGGCAAAAAAAAAAAAATTGAAAGGCTCTCCTTCTGACTGGTAGGAAAGCTTCCCAGCAGGCTTGGTCAGCGGTTTTAGAGGAATATGCTTCAAATAAATACGAAGCACAGAAATATTAGGCATGAACAAAAATTAATGGTATGCTTCATTTACATCCTGCTGTACTCCACATCAAAGGATCTCAAAGCAGCTTTACAAATGCAATCTTACACTACATGTGAGTTAGGTTTCTGAATAATAGTAATAAATACAGAGTATGCAGCGAATCAGGAAGCTGAGGCGCCTAGGGTTACATGGCTGGTTCAAGGTCAGTGACACAGCAGCAGTGTCAGTCATTACTAGAACCCAGTTTTCCCTGTCCACCCCACATAACCACCAGCCATACTGCTGTCTCCATGTAAACAAATTTTCCCACACCCTGATCTCTCCGCAATGGCAAACATGGAGGGTTTCTACTTACTTCTATAGGATTGGCAAGGCTTGGTGATTTCTAGCTTGCTCCTCTGAACATCACATCCTCTATCACTCACGCCTTCAAGAACACAGCTGTCCTTCACAGACTGCCTTTGTGGCATCAACTGACAACATACTGCTAGTCACCTTCGTCGCCTACCCAGAGAGCACTCAGAGAGAAGGACTGCTACCAGGAGCACGCTTTACAGCGGAACAGCGTTATGGGCCAGACCCAAAGATGGAGTGAAATCTCATTTCTGCGCTGAGCCTCCCTGGAGCAACTAGGGAATTAACTGTCTAAATACCTTACTGGATATACCATTTGATATTTTCAACATTAATAAACCCGTGTTAGTCATGGTTATTTTCTTTACTGAACAAAAGTTAGAGAAACCAGTATCTTCCCAAGAGTCCTGGAGCACTGAGGAAGCTCAAGGGAAGTGTGTGCCTTTCTGCCATTGACTTTCAGTCACAAGTAGGCTGTTAACTCCCTAAGCACCCTCCAGAAGTCTCAGCCACAGTGCTTCCTCTTGACCTGCCTGGCAGACAGTTCAGTCCTGCCAGGGGCTGAGGGGCCAATTCACAGGGATGCTGAGCTTCAGCCACAGCCAACAAGAACTGCGGGTGCCTTCCCATCGTGTAAATAGGATTCCTGACTCCCGGTGACTCCTCTGAGCGCTGTGACCATGCCAAGGCTTCAGGACTGGGCTCCCAGTGTTTAATGCACTGAGTCTTTGTGGAATTAACTCAAAAGCCAGGACAACTACCAGATTTCCTGGCTGTCAGGCAGCTTGTACTCTGCCACCAGGGAAAAACTATTCAACTTTGCTAGAGTAGGTCTATGAACCAGTGCATTAAGACTACATATTTTAACACAGCATGGAGATGCCACACTAAACACCACGGTTACCATGGGAAACCTTTCTCTCTTTGCCACTGGCATTGCACAGGGAAGCCCAAGCCTAAGCGCTCTATCTTGCCTTTGAAATCAAACAGATGTTTTTACGATCTTTGATGGAGCTGAGTTATGCGTCCTTCCCCAGAGGAAGGGAAAAAATGCAGTGGTAAAGCAGCCCTTTTTTCTTTCTTTCTTTCTTTTTTTTCCCAAGCATCGCATGTCTTTAGTGAAAGGGAGAACAGGCGTCTTTATCTGGCGCTAACATTTACGGCCACTCGGTAACAAACTGTGACAATGGCAAACTTTTACCCTGAACGCAACGAAACAAGGCAGCCTGTGTGTGTGTGTCCCCTGGCAGGGCTGTCCGGCTGCGGTCGCGGGCGGGACGTGGGAAGGGGTCGGTGGGCTGGCGACGCTCACCGCCCTCCCGGCCACGCAAGGGCACCCACCGGGGATGGGGACAGCGCGCCCGCCGGTCACCGCGGCTCACCGGGGACAGGGGCGTGGGAATAACGGCGTCCCCTGGCAGACGGGGGGGTCGTCGTCGATCCCCGGCACGTTCTCTGTTCGGTACCAGCCCCGCCGGACGCTTTAGCTGCGGGGGGAAGCAGCCGGCACCCAACCGGCTTTGACGGCGCGACACGGACCGGCGCGGGGCACGGAGAGCGGGGAGCGGGGGGAGAGCGGAGCGCCTCCAGCCGCGGGACGCGCTCCCTCCCGCCCGCGGGAGGCAGCGCGGCGGCGGCAGCAGCAGCGGCGGG